CATAATCTAGAAGAATACTTCTAATCAAACCTGCAATTCCCATGGCATTTCCTTTGGAAATTCTTTTGTTCTTTCTTATTGCATTGCCAATTTCTGATGTGCATGCAGACATCATTATCTCCCCAATTTTGAAGAGGTCACAAGAAGGAAACTCCGGAACATTTGGTATGATCAATTTTGAATGTTGATCAATGTATAGTTTTCATTTAATCCATTACATATACTACAAACTTTTTCATCATAATAAAATAGGGGTTTATACCTCTCATGTCACTTCATTCAAAAAACATCTACCGCTCTCACATCGATTCTTGTGCCCAGCTTTTTTTCTTTTTCTTTTTCAAAAAAATAAATGAGACCCCAGCAACTGTTTCTATTGCATAAGATGGTTGTTCTCCTTTGAAAGGAGAAGTTGTTTTTCCAATAAAATATGTTCGTTTCTTATTATTTTTAGGGAAAAGTGTTTATATTTGCTACATTATATAAAGTTATCTCCAGCGACCCTAACACGAGACGTCGTTTTGGGATTTGGATAAAGAGTAATTAGTGTATTTCAGAAATTGTACTTTTCTTTTATATCATGAATTTTATAAAATTATTCAATATTTAAGTCCTAAAATAGCGTTGTTTTAGGGTTGAATGATTATTTTATGTAATTCGAGAAACGTTAATTTTTTTTTTATGCATACATGTGTCTTTTACTTACGAAGAAAAAGAATAACTTGATTGCAGGAGGAGCTTGTGGGTATCAAGATGTGGTTAAAGAAGGTTATGGGCTTGACACAACAGCATTGAGCACAGCTTTGTTCAACAATGGCCGGACATGTGGGGCATGTTTCCAGATCAAATGTGTAAACTCTCAATGGTGTAAAGGCCAATCCTCTATTTATGTCACAGCCACCGACCTTTGCCCTCCAAATTATAGTATACCAAGTGACAATGGAGGATGGTGCAACCCACCACGCAAGCACTTTGACTTAGCCATCCCTGCATATCTCAAATTTGCAGAATACAGGGGTGGCATTGTGCCAGTCATATATCGCAGGTTACATATACATGATCTATTTTCATAGGAGAATGATTCGTTTACAAATTTTTTTTTTACAAACTATATTAAGTATGACCTGTCATACACTTTTGATTTTAATTAAAGTATGACCGGTCAGACATAATGTAGTTTGTAAAAGTTTATAAATATAACATTTTCCATTTTCATATATATATATATATATATTGAAATTAATTTGCATGGTATATATTTGAAATTAATAATGTTTTTTTGTTACAATATATATGTATATGCAGGGTACCATGCAAGAGGGAGGGAGGTATTAGGTTCACCATGAATGGGAATCCTTATTTCAATCTAATAAAAGTGTGGAATGTTGGAGGAGCTGGGGAAATAGTAAGAGTGCAAGTGATGAAGGATGATGGCAAGTTCAAATGGACAGATTTGAGGCGAAATTGGGGTCAGAATTGGGATACAGATGTTAGGTTAGTGGGAGAGAGATTGAGCTTCAGGGTGACAGCAAGTGATGGAAGGTCCAGTGTCTCAAGGCGTGTCGCCCCTAAGTATTGGCAGTTTGGTCAGACCTAAAGGCAAAAACTTCCCATAAATGCTTCTCTGCAACACCTACATTTGGTGTTTTTCGATTTGTCTCTAGGCATTATGTTGATAATAATATAAATCATCACTTGTCTCATATGATATCCCTTCAAATAAAATTATTTTTATTTTATTTCTCTAAGTGTTATTGTTTTTTATTTTATCCCTCGGTTCATCGATTATTCGATTAGTTTGATTCAAGTAGTTTAATCCAAGTCTGTTGTAAGAGCAACATAGTTATAATTGAGATTTTACCTAAAAAGGAAAGGAAATAATAAATCGTAAAACATAAAATCATAAAGTCAAAAAAACATAAAACGTAAAAGCGTTAAAAATATTGATCAAAATGTAAAAAGAAAAGAAAAAAGATAAGGTTATATTTACAACTTATTTCGTTTATAATATCTTACAATCATATCTTAACCGTTGATTTTTGTCAATCAACGGTTACTATTTTCGCAAATCAAATTCATTAATTAATTATTAATTCACAATAATTACCACCCCTAAACACAAGGATTGCAAGAAAAACTATTTACCTTTTCTAAATTTTATTTAACCAAAAAATTCAAATAATAATTGGATTCTCCAAACCTTAAATAAATAAATAAAATAAATTCAAAAATAATGAAAAGTAATCTTGCGCAGCTAAAGGATATAATGTACAATCAAGAGAGAATCAAAGAAATAACAAAAATATAAAATAACAAACATTGATTAAAATTTCCTGAACTATGAAATAAGCCCAAAATGACACGCGCACGCACTGACGCACACACGAATATTTCTAAACCAATCTTAAATGCGTCAACAAGAAATTGATGTTTCATTAGATGAAAATTGGTTATTCGAGGTCCTCTAAATTTATTAAATTTTAAATTTTTTAAAAAAAATCAAGAATTAAATTGTTATGATCCACAATAAAATTTATATTTTTAAATTTGTGGTACTTCTGAAAGATAGCATCACACAAATAATTGTCATCTAACAACATAGTAGTTATTATTTGACTAAATGAGCTTAATACATTTTCCAGAATATTAATGGAGGATTTAATGATATTAATTATTATATACTAATTTTTAAGATCTTTGTTTTCAAAAATTTGAATTCTTTGGGAGAAAAGTCAATCTGGTCATTGATAATTTAATGTGTTAATTATTATTTGATTGAACGAATTTAATGTTGATTGTAAAAATAACGTAATTGTATTATTTTTAAATTTTAATTATTATTCATGATTTTAATTAATATTTAGAAATAAAAGTAAAAGAGAAATTAAAATTTGGAATAGATGATAAGATGAACCATAACATCCTGGAGTCTTGTTGGGAAAATTACACACTCTGGTTATATTGCCTACTCTAGAATGTTGCGACATGATATCCTAATCTTGCTAGTGGAGCCAGCAAAAATGAAGAGGGGTTGATGGATAAAAAAATTTCACGAAATAGTAATTGAATAATTTTTTCACAAAGTGGATCACATCAAACTTTTAGTCTTTATATATTTCATTCATATTTCTTTATGCACTACTTTGTATATGTCATGTAAGGTTAACAATATACAAAACCTACTACTATCTTACATGAAAAGAAACAAATTAAATAATGGTGCTTATAAGGAAAGAAATAAATGAAAATAATGATGATTAGTTGATTACTGATTTGAAGAGGTGATTGAGGTGTTATTTTGCAAATGTCATCCAATTAGACTATAAATATACATTCTTTCACTGCTATCTTAATGTGAACAAAACAAACTAAAATATCTGTGATTACAAAGACACGATTTTTGAAGGAATATATATATCTTCAATAGTAACAGAATAATATAATTACTCATTTACTAGAGAAGGAAAAAGTGGAAGTTCAGGATAAATGGAGAATAAATGCAATTAAATAGGTTTTTTTCTGCTTCTGTAATTTGAATGAATAATTCACAGAATCGTTAGTATTAATGGAATACTGGAAATATTTTCCATTTGGAGAGGTGATTGCTGTGTCATTTCCAAAAACATTAGACAAAGTAAGAACCTTGGACCTTATATATACATATTCGCCTACACCTAGCTACAACATAATCTAGAAGAATATGTCTAATCAAACCTGCAATTCCCATGGCATTTCCTTTGTTCTTTCTTATTGCATTGCCAATTTCTGATGTGCATGCAGACATTATGTCCCCATGGAGATATGAAGCTTATAACAATTTTGAAGGAGGTCACAGAGTGGGCGTTACCCGCAAGCATCATCGCCCCAAGTTTAGCCCTAGCCAATGGAAGGAGGCTCATGCTACCTTCTATGAAGGAAACTCCGGAACATTTGGTATGATCAATTTTGAATGCTGATCAATGTATAGTTTTGAATGCAAAAGATTTATCCCATCTCCATCATGATACCAAATGGAACTTGAGTTACAACATCTATTTGTAGCACGGTTTCTTTACCTAATTCTCTACAGTTACTAGATTTTTTTCATGTTCCAAAATTCAAAGTTAATCTGGTTTCTATTTCCAAATTGGTTGATACTACTCCCTGTTACTTAATATTTCTCAAGTCATCAAGCTTGATTAAGCAGGTCAATACCAAGAAGACGACTATTATAGCTGAATTAAAAGGAGGATTGTATGTGATTGATCAAGCACAACATCATCTGAAGACTCATTCTGACTCCAATAAAATTTCTGAGAATAAAATAGCTCTTTCAACAAAGAAGATAGCTGATGCAAGAATCTGGCATTTCCATTTAGGACATTTGTCTAACGAATCTTTAAGACTAGCAACAGCGAGCATGATTGCGAGCGGCCCAAAAATAAAAAGCCCAGTTTTCAGCCTATAAATAGAATGCAACGAGGCCTTCAGAAACACACATTCAGAAGACGGACGAAAGAAAGGCGAATGCGGAGACGAAGGCAGAAGGCAGAGACGGAGGAGAAACTCTGGAGCAGGATTCAGAGGAAGAGAAGGACATCAAAAACTTCACCATTGATCGTCTTTAATCCAAGTTTTATCATGAACTCTGTTTATTTTTCATTATTTAGTAATTCTGAATTTATGAACATGTTAGGCTAGTTTATTTATGTAGTTAGGATTATCGATCCGATGTGAATCCTATTTGTGGTTTGATTTAGTTTCTTTAATAAATTATTTCAAAATTTGTGTTTTACCTTGCATGAATTTTTATATCCTTGTATGAACTGATCAATCCTATAGGGATTTGAGGGTTAGGACTCGCAATAGACATATTGGGGTTTTAGTCTTGACAGGGGTAAAATACAAATTCTTGTATGACCTAGACATAGGCTTACTTGAGTTGTAGACTTCATAATTCATCGCGTTTAATGCTTATTCTAAGAGGAATTAACTAAGACATTAGGATTCTAATTAGAGTAAAGGGTTAAAGTCACTAAGTTAGGATTTAACCAAATAATTTTTAGAAGATGAATTGTCTGAAATATCTGAAGTAAATTATTATTGAAATTAATTTAAATTACTCTAGGAGGATCTGAGGTGAAATAATTCCTAACTGCAACTTTTGTTTTTGATTTTCTAAATTCTCAATTATTGCGTTCTTGATATTCTTGTTATTTACTGCAATTAATTTTGTTTTAATTTAAATTCAAAAATTATTCTCGACTATCAATTCGAGTTTTCCAAATTAAGGGGACTAGTTATAATAGTATTTGGCGCATTAATCCTCGTGGGACGATATTCTTATTTCACTACTTTATTACTTGAAACGATAGGTATACTTGCCGTAATCGCAACAGGCAGCTAAGTATGAATGTTGCAGGAAGGCAACGGAAACCGAGATCTCTGCATTGGAACAAAACAAAAGTTGGACGCTTGTTGATTGTCCTTCTGGTAAGCGTATTATAGGATACAAATGGGTATATAAAATCAAGCTCAAAGATGATAAGAGCGTCAAAGGTACAAGGCACGCCTCATTGCTAAAGGATACACTCAAACTGAAGGCGTGGACTATCTAGATACCTTCCCACTAGTTGCAAAAATGACCAAAGGATGGCACCTCATGTAACTACATGTAAAATAACGCGTTCTTACGTGGAGACCTATATGAAGAGGTCTACATGGATTTACCCAATGGCTTCCCTCAATCATCTCTTCCCAAAGTATGCAAGCTCCAAAAGTTACTCTACAGGCTCAAGTAAGCGAGCCGTCAGTGGAACTCAAAACTATCCTCTGCCTTATTAGATTTGGGATAAAAACAGTCTATTTCTGACCATTCCCTTTTCATCAAAAGCACTTTCTCATCATTCACAGCACTCCTAGTGTATGTGGATGATATCGTCCTCTCTAGCAATGATTTAGATGAGATCAACCGTGTTAGAGCTTCTCTGGATTCCAATTTCAAGATTAAGGACTTGGGTAATCTTTGATTTTTTCTGGGATTGGAGGTGGCTCGCTCAACTCAAGGAATAGTGGTGAACCCACAAAAATATGCTCTTAAACTATTGTCTGATAATGGTTTACTAGGCTGTAAACCAGTTACCACCCCAATGGAGCCCTCACAAAGCTTCAACGTTTTGATAACCTTTTTGATCTTCTCCTAAATGTTGCAAGTTATCGTTAGTTAGTAGGTCGTTTGTTGTACCTCACAACTACAAGACCTGATTTATCCTTTGCAGTTCACCAACTGAGTTAGTTCGTCTCATCATCGTCCACTCGGCATATGGCAACAACACACCGTGTCTTGAGATACATAAAGTCTTCTCCAACCAAAGGACTTTTCTTTCCATCTAATAACACCTTTCAACTATCAGGGTTTCCAGATAGTGACTAGGCATGTTGTCCATACATCAGGCGCTCTATTTCAGGATTATGAGTATTTCTGGGAACCTCATTAGTTTCACGGCGATCAAAGAAGCAGAATATTGTTTCCAAATCTTCTGTTGAAGCTAAGTACAAAGCCTTAGCTTCCATGTCTTGCGAGATTCAGTTGCTTAAGTTTTTGCTGCATGATCTTAA